GAAGTAAAGAGTAACTTATGTAGCGAATTTGAAATGACAGTCCTGGGAGAACCCAAGGAATTCTTGAGCATGACTATTAGGCGGGACAGAGAAAATCAGATTATCAAATTAAATCAGGAAAATTATATTCAAAAGATATTAAGTAGGTTTGGCTTTGATAAAGCATATCCACAACGTACACCAATGAATACTTCTCAAGTAGCTAATAATGAGAGAAAATCAAGAGAAACAGAATATGATAATGGAACTTTGGAAAGGACAGAAACAAAAGCAAACATTCGTTATAGGGAGGCTGTAGGTAGTCTTTTGTATTTGGCTGGTGCTACGAGATCAGACATTGCATATGCAGTCAATGTAATAAGCAGACATCAAGTAAATCCTAAAGAAAGTGATTGGTAGATGGTAAAAAGAATTTTTCGGTATCTGAGAGGTACTACGGGCTTGGGTCTGAGATATTCAGGCGAGACCAATGACATTCAGGGTTATTCTGATGCGAGTTTTTCTGATTGTAAAGATTCAATCACAACTTGTGGATTTGTGATTAGACTGTTTGGTTATTCGGTCATTTGGCGAACTCACAAACAAACTACAGTAGCACTTTCTACGTGTGAAGCTGAGTATGTTGCAATGAGCGAGGCGAGTCGAGAAATGATGTCGTTGCACAACTCGTTGAAACTGATACTGGTTGATCCCCCTGTTCCAACGATCTTAAGGTGTGATAATAAATCTGCTATTGTGAGTGCGGAAACGAATGGAGGAATGAAATTGAAACACATTGTGGAGAACAAATTACATTATGTAAAGGAATGCGTTAAAAAGAATTATATGAAAATCATTTGGATTGGCTCAAGGGATCAGCTAGCTGATGTTTTCACCAAACCATTGACGTTTGAAACACACAATCGTTTGATGGACCTAATAATGAAAGTAAATATTTAAATTATTTTTCTTTCTGTTTGTCAAGGAAATAACTAATTTGGCGAGACCTTCTGGGAGAGATAAAATCGGCGAGATGGAAAAACTGATGAGATTAAACTGACAAAATTAGCTGGCGAGAATACTGAGGCGAGATAAAGTTACCAAATAAGAAACTTTGTGATGAACGAGAATATATTACCAGGAGAGAAGAAGACTGGAGAGGAATCAAGGATACTGTCTATGGCGGGAGGGAGTGTTGAAAGTGGCGCCCTACGCCAGTCTCCTTTTACCGACAGTGTGGCTGACTGTGTCGCCACGGCGCCGTTGCGCCTCTCGTAGATATACTCGTACTATGCACCACTTGTGCCGCGACCGTTGTCGCATTACGTGTCTGAATAAAGCGTAATTACTTTTACGATAATAAAACTGTGTTTAATCGTTATTTCAATCCTAAATAACCCTTCAGTTATAGATTTAATTCCTCTTAAAAAAGGTGCCGGAGGGGTTAGGGAAGGATCCTCGGGAGGAATTTTTCCGCTGCACTCATTATCAGATTTTTTATGAATTTTTTATAATTAAATACATCCAAGTTCTCATAGGGTAAATAGGAGTGCAAGTGAACTCAAACACTTGGATATTTGATTTATTTTTCAAAAGATGCCTAAGGGCTTGGAGAAGTCTCCTGAGGAGGAATTTCTTCGGTGCACTAATTAGCAGATTTTCATTAAATTTTGGAAAATTAATTTTTTAAAAGGTTCAATGGTGTAAGTAGGGGTGCAAGTTAACGCAAACACTCGGAGATTCAATTTCTTTTGAAAAAATTTCCTAATTGGTTGGAGAAGTCTCCTGAGGAGGAATTTCTGCGGTGCACTAATTAGCAGATTTTTAATCAATTTTTGAAAATTATTGTTTTATAGGTTCAACGGGGTGAATAGGGGTGCAAGTGAACGCAATCACTTAGACATTCAATTCCTTTTGAAAGATGCCTAAGGAATTGGGGAAGTCTCCTGAGGAAAAATTTTTTCGGTGCACTAATTAGTAAATTTTTATTCAATTTTTGAGAATTATTTTCTTACAAGTTTCAATGGGGTAAATAGGGGTAAACCCAAACACTTGGAGATTCAATTTTTATTTTTTTTGTAAATGTACCGAAGGAGTTTGGGAAGTTTTCTAAATGCAAAATTTGGTGGTGCCAATCATTGGAAGATTTCCAATCAATTTTCGAAAAATAATTATAAATCTGCCAATTAGTAAACCGACGAAATTCTTCCTCAGGAGACTTTCCCAACCTCTTATGCTACTTTTTTAAAAGAAGATGAATCTCCAAGTATTTGCGTCCAATGGCACCCCTATTTACCCCATTGAACCTGGTAAAAAAATAATTTTCAAAAATTAATTAAAAATATGCTAATTATTGCACCGATGAAATTCCTCCACAGGAGACTTCCCCAACCCCTTAGGCTACTTTTTCAAAGGAAACTAAGACTCGAAGTGTTTGCGTTTACTTGCAGACCTATTTACCCTATTGAACCTGGTGAAAAAATAATTTTCAGAAATTAATTAAAAATCTGTTCATTAGTGCACCGACGAAATTCATCCTCAGGGGACTTCCACAACCCCTTAGGCACCTTTTGAAGAAGAAATCGAATGTCCAAGTGTTTGAATTCACTTGCACCACTATTTACCCCATGAGAAATTGTATTTATTTAATTTTCAAAGATCCATTAAAAATTTGATAATAAGTGCACCGGAAAAAATTCCTCCCGAGGATACTTCCCCAACCCCTCCGGCACCTTTTTCAAGGAGAATTAAATCGATAAATTTTTGCGTTTCCTTGCACCCCCAATTACCCCCCTCAGAAGTGTTCTCCCAACCTTCACGTACATTAAACAAAAAATTTCAATTATAAAAACCTTTGCGATCACACTTTTTTATTTTTCATTTAGTCTGGGAGATTTCAAATCCGTGGCTACAGTCCGCCTCATAAGTAACACCCAACTCCCGCTAGCTTCAGCATCATGGAACGATGGAGTTCACAATCTCAAGGTCAAAGAACATGAGGAGGAGTGAAATTTATTTACGCGACGAACGAAGTTAATAACGAAAAAAAGCCTTTGGGAGAGCATTGCTTGAGGAATAACAAAAAATAATTTCAAAAAAAAGAGTTTAATCTCTACTCGAATTAGTGGCTGTAGTGGCCACGCGGGGAGTGTGTAGCTCCGGCGGTCATCCAAGCTAAGCAGAGTTCAGTCTGCCCAGTACTTGGATGGGTGTCCGCTTAGGCACACCTAACCGCGTGGGACTACAGTCGCTAGGTACGAATGTAGAGAACCACTGTGCCCATTGAGTCAGTGTGACCAATGGACACAGCGAAATCCGTGCATTATCGGCCGGCTGCACGACTGAGGTTTTCCATGGTTTCCCTGGCAGTCCAATCCCGAATGGGGTGCAGTTCGGGATAAAGTAAGTCGGCCCATGGTAACGCAGATTAGGGAAGGGAACAAAATGTAAAAACCCGAGAGGGTATACATATGGAATCAAAAATAAAAAATGAAAAAAATTAAAAAAAATAAAATCTCTACTCGAATTCTGTCGACACATAATACAATTTTCCCAATAAATTCACAATTCTAATCCTCCATTTTTTCAATCATTAGATTTTTTCCTTCACAGAACGATGCAAGATCTCATTCAAAATAAACATATTTCGTCAGAATACAATTATCGTCTCGTTTCTCCGAATTTCCTCCCACAGCATGTGTGAATGATGTAATTACCTGTATCCATCGTGTCTAGGAGGCCCACTTCCAGTGAATATATTGATTTTGTCCTGGGGAGGAGTAGTTAGTCGACACCGTTGCTGAAAAATCGATGCACATGCATACGTTGGGATCATAGAAAGATTATTGAGTGAATCATCCAGTCGCACGACAAGAGTCGATTAATCAATATCAAGTATTGGATGAAGTCACAACAACCCCATTAGTATTCTACAGTTCATTAAAAGGCTGAAATGCCAGGGTTTATGACTTCAGATCATTGTATTTGATGACTCGATGTTCAAGCACTGGATGGAACTCCACTGAACATCACAAAACAAAAATGTTGCCCAAAATGGCGGCTTCGAGAATATCTTAACCTCATTCATTGATGTGGGATATATAAAGATAGCACGAAATATGTGGTAGCTAACATCAGACTGATATGGCGTTTTTCTTGGCGTGCTGACTGCGTACGTAAACATTTCGTGTTTCTTGGTGACGAATTGAAAATTGATGTTTCTTGGGGTTAGCTGAGTCGGTAAAAGTCGATAAAATAGGTTGCGTTTGTGACCATTTAAGCAAACCGTGTTTCTTGGTTGATTTTGTTAAGGAGAGGTTAATTGAGAGGTTAATTGTGTTTATTTAGATGTCTAGGAAGTGTGGGCTCGTGGAAGACCCAAAGAAGTGTCCTTGGTGCTAATGAAATAATTAAATACAATTCGGAGTGGGTTATGTGTGCATCGTACGCAGATATTCAATCCAATCCGAAGGAGAGACCTAGTGAGCAGCATCTACACGCGAGAAAAATCGCACTGAATCATCTTCGTAGGATAATCGACATGATTCCATTTTGACAGCATGATGTGTGTTTTGATGCGGATGCTGAGGAGGAGCTCACCGGTGCATTATATATGTCACTGGAGACACGTGTCCATTGTCAGGTCGTTAGTTCAAGAGCGTGTTGAGGCTTGTTGTGACATCGTCATCGATGTCAATGTCCACTGCACTCATCGATGGATCCTGCTGGAACTGAAGATGATCCTCAGACCTCGATGTCCTCACAAAACCACTAGGATATCCAAAATTCGTGACATTTGTCTATGTCTATTGTCGATGTATATTCGGCTCATTTTGGAGCAAAAAAATTTGGAGCCAAAAATAGCAATCTGTAAGTCAAGAGTGAGTCTAGTGGTGCTCATAAGCTGCTTGGACAGATATTCGAAGCCCTTGGACAGAAGGAGTCTGCCCCAGCTGAATTTAAACAGTCTCGTTTTCTGGAGCTTTTTCTCAATTATTTGATTTTATTCGTAGTCTGTGAATTATTGGCTGACATGGACATTGAAATGGACGTGAATAGGATAAAATACTAGGTCGACAGAGCTAGTGAAAAATTCGCTCACAATCCAAGTGTGTTTCAATTGAAGGAGAAAATGCTGATGGCTCACAGACCAAATTCGACTGATGGAGATCTGGAAGCTCTTATTACTTGTAAGTCCTTCATTAAATCATCTTTACTAAAATCCTAATTCTCCCTTCATCAGACGTCAGAAAATGGGACAATATATCTGAATCTGTTAATCCTTCATCACAGCATCATCATGTCTGACTGGGGATTGTGAATAAATTCCACTCACTTCATACTGAGACTGTACCTTATCATCATCAGTATATAATCTTGATGATTGGATTGCCAAGCGCCAGTATTTCCAGATGACAATCGAGGCAACATATATTACTTGTTTGGATTTGCGTGGACTGACTATCGTTTGTTTATCTGTCATACAATCGTTAAAACTGTCAGAGAGAGACGTCTCGGTTTTATTTGAAATATTCAAAAAGTACTAAACCGACATGGCTACGCCCTCGGCCACTTTCCAATTAAATAATAAAACGATGGTGAGCTTTCAAACGAAGAGTGAGACTGATCGCAAAAAAATTAGTGGTTCGTAAATGTGATTAAGTGAGATTCATTTAAATTATATCACATTGCTACATAATTAATTCCACAGACGACGATGAAATGATAAAATACATATTGAAAGCTGCCATAGAAGGTCGATTTGAGACATCATTGGGAACTAATCAAATTTTTTCCATTAAAAGAATCACTGACAAGTATGTTCGTCTATTTTCTCTCCTTAAAATCATGTGTCACAAAAATTAATAATTTCCTCTCCATTTTTTAGGGAAAAGAAGCTCATCTGCATCCTGGATAATGAAACATCACCAAAAGCAATGGACATGGAAATAATCACCAAACATGACAAAGTTTTGAAGACTTCGGGTAACTCGACGAGTGCTAAGAGAAAGCTCAATGGAACTGATTCGAGTTCAGATGACGACGACTCGGATGATGAGGATAACTCTAAGCAGCTGGAGGATTCAAAACATGTGGGCAAATGAAGTGAGTATTGAACTCGTAGAATTGATGAGGTGATGAATTAATTTATAAATAAATGAGTTCATTCAATATTTGATCAAGAAATACCAGAATACCAAAAGAAATTTCCAAAAAAATTGGATGGAATTTCCGGTACACTCATTGGAAATTACCATCACATTGTAGCTCTAGTGGAATTTCAATGAATTTCGTCATTTAAAATTCAATATTCAGGTGTATAAATTGTTGAATTTTTTACAGTTCAATGGACAAATGAGCAGAAGGAATATTTACTCGAGCAAGTAGTGGATATGGAGAATGATGTTGGCCCGCGCAAACGTTTCAAGAACGAAGCAGAAATGTGGGGGGCAATCGCAGAAGACTTCAATGCGGAATTTGAGACAAAGAGGACCTCCATTCAAATGAGGAGCAAAAGGGGCTCTTTGATGAGAGAACAGAAGAAAAAAGGACAAAACAAGAAGCCCCCAAAACCACGTGCCACAAAACAGACTTCATTGGACAAGGCCTTGGAAACAATTCAAAAAATGAATCAGGAGAGAGATGCTAAATGGGAGAAACGAGAGGAAACTCGTTCGAAGCTCTCGAACGTGAGAAGAGGATCCTGGCAACTTTGACTGAACTCATGGCGAAAAATGAGAAATAATGATGGAATGAATCATTATTTCAAGGATAGAAGAGTTCATACAGCTGATCCAATTTATTTAATCCATTATCAATAGGGGCTGGGACCACATGTGATTACGATTGTCAATGATATTTGAAAGATTGTTGATAACAATTGTAACCACACGTAGTCCCGGGCCCTGTTAATCAATTCATTATCCATTTGTCAATTTATTAATTCTTTAAAAAATAATTAATGTGTTCAATTAATTTCCTTTTCGACTTGCGTATAATTTTAAAAAATAAATTGATTTTTTTAATACAGAAAAAATACCTGGATATAATTTTTGAATTTCACATTAAATGATAATAATAGAAGAAATTAATATGTATCAATTGAATCAATCAATAATAATAGAAGACATTAACGTCTATTAATTCTTGAATTGGCAAGAATTACTCTCTCGTCAGGGCAGCTTTGAAGGAAACGAACTCTTCAAATGTCTCTTAGTATTTATCCACTTCTTCAGAGATTTGATCACCCAAGGATTGGATTTTAGCGACCGTCGAAGGAGTCATCCACTCTGCTGGTGTACTCACAGCTATCATCATTTGATTTTCGAGCAGTGAAATTGTCTCCATCTGCAGTTCAAGTTTCTCCTCGAAGGTCTTGCGAATCTCTTTACTAATATATATTTGAAACCGTATTTTTTGTTTTCTTTGTGTAATTGCAGGATGGTTCAGTCATGTCAGGCGTGTCATCTGAATCACGAGACGACTCATCTGAATCAATCCAAGCATTGGCTGATGAGACAAGAGAGTCATCTGGACCTTCAGGAATGCTGATGGTCTCACCTTTTTCAGCAGGGAATCCTACCCTGTGGCTCACTCCGGTCAATATATCATCTGAGTCAATTCCAGATGTGTCACTGAGTGAAGTCACTGAGTCATCCATCGGGGTGAAACTACTATCACAAGAAGCACCTTCCGATTCCACAACATCTGGGTGGTCCATGACTGTTCCATAGCAGTTTTCCACAGCTTTTGCTCCTTTTGTCTGATCTGCACTCGGGTTCATTGTAACTGGAAATATTATCATATTTTTTTAGACATTTGGATTTCAGTAAATTGGGTCTTATTCTCAGCGCAGGAAATTGTACCTTTTTTTTCTTTACTCCTTCCTTTTTTTCTTTGCTTCGCTTCAGGAAGATGTGGTTGATAGACTGCAACGTTGAAGACAATCGACAGTCACTGGATCAAGAACAAACAATTGATATATCAAGTGAATATTGTCTATGAACATTCAAATAAAAGCCTCGCGAAAAAAGACGAAATTATGTGAAGAAGCATAGAACAATTCCAGATTTGTCAACATGTGTAAGTATAATTGTTAGAGCTATATTAATAAATAGAAATATAACTTACACTTTATAACATAATTATCATTTCATCTATTCAGGGACGAGCGACGACAATGAGTTCTTGTTAATCCTTCGCACAGGATTTTACGAACATCTTTTTGGTTCAATCTCTTGGGAGAATATTACTGAGCCTAAGGACGAGGTCTGGGAGTGAGTAAACATTTATAAATAATAATAATAATTCGTCAATAATGATAATTTGTAAACAAAACGTTGTTTTATGTTTAGGAACATATCAGCAGATATTGCGTGGAGCTATAGACCACAATTACACAGAAGAGGACTCACCACGGGAGCTTCATTGGCAGCACGATTTGAAATCCTTGGGAACGAGTATAATGTAAGTACAAATTTAATTAATTGAAGAAATTTGAAATTAATCAACGAAAGTCTGGTCTTGTTTAAGAGCTTGTAGAAACGTTAGAAAAAAAAGGGAGAGAGGGACAATTAGAGGACATCCACTTCTCAGCAAAATTCTCTGAGATTATTAGAAAATTATTCAAAAACGTGGTAATTGCCGCAAAAATTCCTGGGGATTCCGAACTTCAATTTGAATACGCCACCTGTGTCAAGTATATTGTTTTTTTTCTAATAAAAATGAAAATATCTCCGAAACTAGTGTGTTTATCAAAAAATGTCAACAGACTTTTTTACGGGAAATTTTGAGGACTATAATAAAGGTCTTGATATTTTTCGATCACCTTGCTAGTTTTCGAGATATCATTAGATATCATTTTTTCCTAGAATCGATTTTACTGGATAAATTACAATACCTGCTCTAAAAACATTTAACTCAGTTCCAGATTTTTGGGTTCTTTATTTTCGTTTTTTTTTGTTTTTTTTTATACTGAAGTTTGCTATTTGTGGTTTCGTAATTCAATTGCCGGAAAACACAGCTTGGGATAATGAATTAATATTGAAAAATGGCAAAACGCGAAATAATTCACACAATTGTCCAAGATTTATTATTGGATGAGGATAAATATTATGACTTGAGTAAGAATGAAGAAGAAGAATAGCGAGAAGATTGTGTTGTGCTCAGTTCCATGTTTACAAGGCAGAAAAGACAGAAAATTGTAAATTTTTTAGAGATTGTGAAAGACTATTCAGATGTCGAATTCATTGAAAATTTTCGTTTGGAGAGTGGAGTGACAAGACAAATCATCGCTGAGTTCGAAGAATCCCCATTCTTCCCGATATACACTTTGGATGGATCATCGGATATTTCAGCAGAAAAGGCAGTTCTCATGTTCCTTTGATAAATTCACCATTTTTTCTGAAATACGAACTAATAAAATTCAACAAACTACATCATCTAGTTCCTCATCAATTTAAATTTTTAGGTTTGCTGGGAATAAGAGAACTCTTCGTGATGTAGCTGGGAGATTTGGAGTTTGTCCTGCTACTGTGTCTCGGTACAATGACAGAGTGATGGATTTCCTGATCAGCATTGCTTCTGATGTGATCAAACTACCCCAAGACAAAGAATATTCTGCGAGGAACTTCGAAATGGTGAGAATAAGGATATTTCTGTTTATCGCGAGTCTATTTTCTATTGAATATTCTATTGAAGTTTCCTTCTGATTCCACATGAGGACAATTTAATAAAAATCTCAGCGATTATGATAGGAAAATCATGAAATTGCAGACTTAATTTAGAATGAATGAGATTCCAATTAAAAATCTATACCAAAACTTGAATTTCAACAGCAGATCTTTTCATCTCTTATGAGATATTCAACATTCCCTCATTTCTCCATTTAGACGTATAATTTCTCTGATGTTTTGGGTGTGATCGATGGGACACATATTCGCATTCGTACGCCTGCACGTAAGGACAGATCGATGTATGCTGACCGTGATAAGCAGACGACACTCGGTCTCCAAGTCGTGTGCGATTCAGGCAAGAGAATTGCCAACAAAATTTGCTGACTCCATTCAATCGTACAAATCTATCAAGGGAAGAGGCAAAGTTCAATCGTCAATTTTCTCGAATGAGAGTATTAATTGAAAATTCTATTACCCGACTGAAGAATATTTTACGAGGACTGATGAATGATGAAATGTGGTCAGCAGATAAAATGTCAAAATTCATTGTGAGCTGCTGTGTTTTACACAATTTGATAATTGATAAGGAATTAGTAATTGAGAGGGATGGGGAGATTGATGATTGGACACCTCTTATTTGTGTTGATCAAAAAATTTCTACCAGGATTGGAAAAGAGAAGCGAAATGCCATGAAAGATAAGATAAATGATGAATCATAAAAATAATAATACTTGAGTTTATGTGCATCTTTGTTTTGTATTCATTTTGAGTTTAGAGGGCGGGGATAAACATACGCATGATCCAGGACAGCTGGTGTCTTCTTTTTTAGCTTGGGAGGAATAGTTGGAGTGAAAGAATCATGGCCTTGAACGATACGGAGTGGAATTCACAATTTTTCATGAATTTAGGGTACTCGCCTCCTTTGATATTTAGAAAACTTTGAATTGGATTTTCCCACAGCAGAGATAAAGCAAAGGGGTGAATCTTAAACATAATAAAGTCACATAACAGATACATAATTCATAATAACAGGCACGAATTTCAATTTATTATGAAAAATTATAATAATAGCTATGATGCTTCTTCGTTCCTCCAATTCCTTCTTTATGACTCATAAACTAATCTATATACATCACAATTAAATAATTTCCCTTGCAGACGAATGCGACGGAGCGATCTTATGAGCTTTTCCGAAAAAAGACTCATGTTTATTTTGTCTTGCAGTATCGTACTCCATCAGCAGAACATATCAATACCGGCTGGATATTGTCATCGACAGAGCAAAGATGCTCAAATATATCAGGATGAGGTATATCAACCGGTGCTCTTCCAGTTTTGCTGTTATTGATGACAGTTTTCCTACAGACTGCTCGATAACTCTCTACCATAGATTGAACTGCACCAGCTGTTTTGACAATATCATATTTTTTATTGACTTTGCGTGCAACAGCCTCCCACATGTTCATTTTCCTTTTATATTTTTTCATAGGGCCAATCTTGCGGAAATTAGTGACGTAGACTTTCAATATTTTACGAAGGATTCTAACGCTTTTGCGTAGAAATGTAAAAGGACTAGTAAAATCAGAAAGCCACAAGGGAGATTGGGGCAATATGGGCAATATTGACTTTCTTTCAAATATTCAGAATTCAGAAACAGATTCATTAGTTCAGTTTGGACTCATCACAACGAAGAAGAAATGTATTTTCGATGGGATAATAATTAGGGGAGGGCAAGGCAATATGGACACCAGTTTTAAATGACGTTACGAATTGGATATGGATTGTTGTCACAGACTCTAAAGTCTTTCCAGAAAGTGTCAAGTCTTTGCAGAAAATGTCCAGTCTTTCCAAAAAGTGTCCAGTCTTTTTATAAAGTATCCAGTCTTTCCAAAAAAAGTCCTATGTTTCAGAAAATGTCAAGTCTTTCTAGAAAGTGTCTAGAGTCTTTCTAGAAAGTGTCCGGTTTTTCTAAGAAGTGTCTAGAGTCTTTTCGGGAAGTATCTAGAGTCTTACCTATTTTACTTATTAAGACTATCACATAAAATAACTTACATTATTGAATTAACAAGAAAAAATAATGAACTAAGAAACAATAAAATTGGGTATCCATTTTACCCCAGGTGTTCATATTGC